AAGGAAGGAAGGAAGGAAGGAAGGAAGGAAGGAAGGAAGGAAGGAAGGAAGATTTCTAACATTCTCTGCCAGCTTCCCACAAACAAGGAAGCTGGCTGCAAGTCACAGGTCTCTCACACTCCCATTGCTTTTTTGCCCTTGGTCATTCTCTGGTTAGGTAACTTAGTGCAAGACTAAAATAATGACTCTGAAAAGATGACTCAATGGGTCATAGGTTGTCTAGTAACTATATAAAATAGGGATATTAACATTAACAATGACTCATCATTGTTTTCCATTGTACCTGAAACAAACTGCTGATAATGGGTTCTATATTGTGGTGAAGTTTCAAACAATGCATCCCCTTAAGTCTTCTTCACAAACTAATGGAGAAGAGAGAGGTTATTTTTCAAATGGGGCCAAATTTGATTTGACTGTGAGGCAACATTCTTTTTAGAATCTACAACATCTGCAAAAGCCAAGAGAGGTCAACAAAAAGAGATAAGAGGTCAACAGAAGGAGGGGAGACATAATAAAACAAATCACTTTGCCACTACCGTCCCAAATACTTTACCAAAGTCAATCTAAGCTCCCTTTTCCAAGCACAGCTGTTTTTACGTGCACCCAATATGTTGTTATAATAGGCAATTACAACCAACCTATAAAATCTCATCCTATATTTAGATTACATTTTTGATCCTCTTTGAAAAAAACTTCAGCATTAACCTCCTAATAGCATCTTTCATCTCATTATTTCTTAATGTATAAATGATGGGATTCAGCATTGGGGAGACAACTGTGTAGAGCAAGGAGACAATCATATCTATTCTACTTTTCTTAAAAGGGCGAGCGTAAATGAAAATACATGGGATGAAATGTAGGCTGACTACTGTGACCTGAGCTGCACATGTTGAAAGAGCTTTGTGTTGTCCTTCTGAGACATGATTTCGTATCTTGAACAAGATGACACTATATGAAATGAGTAAAGCAATGAATGCTAATGTAGTTAATAAGCCATTGTTGAAAACCATAAGTAGTTCAACCTGGTAGATATCTGTACAGGCCAATTTGACCACCTGTGGAACATCACAGTAGAAATTTTCTAATAAGTTGGGACCACAGAATGGTAATTGTAGTATCAATATCACTTGGATTATGGAGTGAACAAAACCAAAGAGTGAAGCAGCCATAATGAGTTCTAAGAATGTATTCCTGTTCATGATGACTATATATTGCAAAGGCTTGGTTATGGCTAGGAATCGATCAGCTGCCATCGCTACTAGGAAAAAAGTTACCATCCCTCCAATGAAGTGGAAAAAGAATATCTGTGTCAAGCATCCGTAGAAAGAGATGGTGTTTTGCTTGGAGAAAAGTACTTGAAGCAATTTAGGAGCAGTTACGGAAGATTCACTAATGTCCAGAAAAGCCAGCGTGGCTAACAAGAAATACATGGGCACATGAAGATGATGGTCTGATATTACTGTTATTATAATTAGTACATTCCCCAAACACGTAGTCATGTAAACTAGTGGCAAGACAATAAGGAAAAAGTATTTAAAGTTTGGATTTGGGGAGAAACCTACAAATCCCACAAACACAAATTCTGTAACCCAAGCTGTGTTGTTCTCCACCTCCATTCAATGGTCTTGCAATAAATACCTGGTGAAGAGAAATATTAGAAATTAAATGTTTGGTTGATTAGCATTGTCTGCATATGAATGGTTATATAAGTTTTATTTTAATTAGTAGATTTTTCCTGGCTGACTTTTGAAGAAGAAATGTCTAATTGGGAAGATCGCTTTTTAATTCTCATTGTAAGATTGTGTGATCAACATCTAATGCTCCTCAATTTATTCAGTTAAACACAGATTCCCCACAATAAATACATTATTGTTTACAATACCTGCAGTGTATAGTAGGTCACTGTATCACATAATAATTGGAATTGATTTGAATCGAATTTTGGATACTGCTTTAGATCATAATGCTCCACCACATGCATGACATTCATGGATTCATATCATTTTGCATGATTATTATTTACATTTGACTAGATATCTAGTATTATATTGCTCATTCACAATCATAATGTTATTTCTTCCAGGCATAAAACCTTTTCTGACTAGGTTATTTTCTCATATCTCATTCTATGACATCTGAATTTAAAACATGTGATACAGGTATTATTGCAATTTTTAACTATTGCTTTATGATGAAGATTTAAATACATTCTTTAATTCATCTTTTTGAAGGAGAATTGTTTATTCAGTAAATGTAAAAGTAAATGGAAGAGTTTTCATTTCAACAGAAACTGAGTTATATTACTGTAAGGAAAATCATCGAAGCACTAATCAAGGACAAATTATTTTATTTTTTTAAAAATTGGTAAAATTAGGGGAGAAGGATAAAAGTATTTTAAAAATATTAGCTCTTTATCCATCTTATCTATCTCCTGACCAACTTTTTATTTGTGTTAACTATGACTGAACAAATATTATCATTCCAAATCAGAATGTTTATTACATAGCAGGAATGATATTGGAAATGGGGCATTTGAACATACTCAGACTGGGTTATGTCCATCAAAAATAATAAATAATAATACTAAAAAAAAAAAACTGTCAGTCATTGAAAATACACAGCATGAGCAATTAATTCAGCAACCAAAAATCTGTCAGTAAAAGAGAGTCCACAAAGTGTACTTTACTCAGAATAAATTTAGTCTGTATTAAAGTCTAACTGGATTGTTCATCCCCAGAATGTATTATTCTTTAGTAGAGTATTACATTTGTGTGTAAATGTTTCATTTGTCTATTGACTTTTTTTTTTTTTGCACTGATCATCAGATAAAATAATAGGATTTAAAACTGATTTAACTCCTGTCTCTTGTCATATCATGCTGCCGTTTTAGTGGCATTCACCCTTTTCATCAGATTTTAAGTATTGGTGATGCATCTGAAACAGTTCAGCTAAAAAAGCAATGAATCCTTTTCATTTCAGTTGGAGAAATGAATGCAGGATCCAGGATTGCAGGATGCCTCGCTCAAACTGGATTCTGCCTGCTATGTCTGAAGCAACCATGAGGCCATTAAGTTCATGCATAACAAACACTTTCTAAAAAGTGTTGCAGGTACCTGGTGAAGGACTGAGGTTGAATTTCATGCAGAATTTCATCAATTGAAAGCAGTCATGTCCTTGCTGCGATCACACAAAATAACTGCACTTTTCTATGAGGAAACACTGCCCATCAAGAGCTTCTTATTTAGTCTCTGGATCTCTAGTCTGAGAGGGTTTCAACAGGAGACCATCATAATCTCTTGGGTCTCGTAGCAAGTAATAGTGCTTCTGCTTTGGCACTTCAGGAAAAAAAAATCATGAAATAGAAAAAAAATGATAAAATGCTAGTTAGTTGTTTTTGCTCTCTCTCTCTTGTTCTCTCCCCCCACCCAACCCAACTGCATATTCTAAGAATAGCTCTCAAAACATGTAACTCTGAAAAATGTGGTAACAGTTGTTCCCTGAGAAGCTTGTTGCTAGAAAGAAGCCTTAGAAGACCTTTGTGCTTATTAAGATTTTTGACAGGCTGATGTTGGGGGTCAACAGAGTAGTATCAAGCCCTCAGCTTTTTAATATCTATCTGAAACTTTGCTGGAGGTCATTTGGAGCTTCAGAGGGGGATGATGTCTATATGCTGTGATGCTCAGCTCTGTTGTTCCCTACCATGTAACTCCAAGGAGGCAATCAATGGCTTGAATATTGATAATGGACTGGATGAAGGGAGAACAAGCAGAAATTAATTTGATATAAGTTGGTGGCACTTTCAGTAAGGAACAAATTGGATTCAGACTTGAGGTGAAGCCTTTTGAGTGGATTCTACTCTAGAAACAAGAGATCCTAAGTTTAGGAGTGCTTTTTCACCCCCACTTGTCACTGAATTAAAAGGTAGTGACAATGAAGAAGAATATATTTGCAGAACTTTGGAAAGTGCACCAACTTCTACTTTGCCAGAGTTGATCAAATTTAGCATTAACTATTCACCTCTTGGTTTTAATCCATGCTGACTGCTGCAATGTGCTTTACATGGGATACTCTCAGGAAGTAAACAGAAATTACAATTATAAGTGTACAGAAACTGAAACTGCAAAATATATAGGTTGCTTGCTGACCAGTCCCACAGTGGAGGGATCACATGATGCTTGTTTTCAAAGTTCAGCACTAGCTGTATATTTCATATAAGCATAATTTAAAGTGTTGTTGTGGACCTTCACAATATCTGGACTGCAAAAACCCAGAAAACCAGCAGATGGGATAAAGGAATTAGAAATTTTTATACCTTCTTTTTGCCATCTAGTGATCATCTGGATTTTTGCAATGTAAATCTGGTTGCCCTGCCAAAACAGCTAAAAGTCTGACTATCTGAGGGACTGCCTCTCCCCATATCCTGCCCAGTTACTTAGATTAAAAAGATGGTGTATACATTTATTAAATAAAAAATAAGTAAATACATAAATGTAGTCTGTTAGAGTACTGAGATTTTCCCCCCATTTCTAGTAGTACAGCATTGGTTCTTTTCATTATGGGCATTAATATCACAAAATTCAAAATCTGGGATATCCTAAAACACAAAATTATGCAAAAATTTACAGAAGGGAAATTAATTTAGTGTTAATTACATTTCTAGACACTCCAGTGATTCTGGCTGACTTAAAATATAAATCCAGTAAAAAAAAAAAAATCAATTGAGAGAGTAAGAACTACATCTCTCCCTCACCCATGGAGGTAAAAACAGAAAAAAGGACCCCTAATTACCTTAATCCAAGGCATGGGGAAAAATGTTTTTAATTCTGCTTTAAAGATTGGTAAGGTAAGGGCCAAGTGGATCTCTGAGGATGCTATTCAGAGTGCAGGTGCCATGACAGAGAGTGGCTACTTTCTCAGTACCATTACATGATTGTTTAATTGATGGGATCAGGAATAAGCCAACTGTGCCAGAACTTACAGGGCAGGCAAAAGCCGTGGGAGACAGAAAGGCTTTCCAATAAATAGGCCCTATATCATGTAGGGCTGCAAAGATGACAAACAGCACCTTGAATTACATCTGGAAGACAACTTGTAATCAGTGGAGCTCATGGAACATGAGTGTCACATAGGCATGGCAAAGCCCACCTGTGACTGCTTGTGGTGCTATATTCTATAACAGTTACAGCTTCTGAATGGTTTTTAAGGAAGCCCCATGGAGATTGCATCGCAATACTCCACCATAAGGTGGCCAAGGCATGGGTGACCATAAGAAGGGTCTTCAAGTCCAGAAAAAAAATGCTACTGCACACAAGATGAGCCTTTGTGAAGGCATTCCTGGCCACAGCTACCTTCTGCTGTTCACACAGGAGCTGTGAGTCCAGGAGGACACCTAGATTGTGCACTGGACCCAAACTGTGTCGTGTAATATTGTTTGGGGTCAGAGTTGGAAGATCTCTACTTCCAGGATCTCTACTTCTACCAACACTGACTACAACTGGGCACTGAGAAAGGAGATCTATGTAACATTATGCCTCCCACTCTTACTACTCGCATTTGGTCCAGAAGGATACCATAATTGGTGGTTTCAAAAGCTGTTCAGAGATTAAAAATAAAACAAAACAAAACAAAACAAGGAATTATTACTCTCCTATCTCAGCTTTGTCATAGGTCACATATATCTCTGTATTGCTATATCGGTATTATTCCTCCTCCTCCTCCTCATCATCATCATCATCAAAATGTATGTACATTCTGAGTCCCAGTGATTCCGAGCAGTTTATCAATTATTTAAAGCATTAAAATAAGACATTAAAGATGACAAGAACTATAGGAGTTTTTTTTTTCTGTGAAATATGTGATAAGTAATAACAGGATTGGTGCTAAAACAAAGTTACTGAAGATCATGAGAAAGATATCTCAGAAAACTCAGGTGGCTGGGATTGAACTATTAAATTTATAATATTAAACCACATGTTCAACTATGGAGTTATGTTCCCCCAAAAGGCATATCATTGGTCAACATGAATATATTTTTGTTCCATCAAAACTTCATAAATGAATTGCCTGAAGAAGGGCCCACAAATTTGATGCAGGTTTCTCTTTAATTGATTTTGAGGCATCTTCACAATGTAATATAATTGATATGATCATAGGAGAAATTCAGTAAATATTCACATGCAATAGCAGCCCAAGATGCACCAGAAATTCATCAGAAGATTGGGATTTTATGGGAGGGGTAGTGCAAAATCTTAAAGCCAAGGACTCCATATTCTATTTCTTTGCTATTGTATGCATTTCAAGGTCTTGATTTGGCTTGGTGTGAATATTTGCAGAGCTGGCCTAATTTATTCTTAGGGGAATCATTCAGTTAAGGACTTTTCCCATATATATTTTAGCTAGTAGATATGAATGTAATGTGTATCATTAAAAATAATTAAGAGTATAGTCACATTAGGTTAGCAGTTTTGCAATTATTCTAATAAATATTTCACAACTTTCCAAGGCATTCCAACATCTCTCTGTGGTGTTCATAGTGGAAACATGCAGAGAAGTGAAATGAAAGAAGTTTGAAAAACAGTAACTTAAGATATGTTGTGAGAAAGTTATTTGAGACTGATGTTTGCATCTCTCCTTCCAATTTCTGCAACTCTCATAAAGGAGACCACACAGATGAAGAATGTGAGATTATCATATTAACCGCAATGACAATGTGAGTTCATTGTTATTTTAACTAACTTTTTATTAAATGATGTTTTTGCGAAATATTATGTCAGTCGCTTGAGGGAAGGAGAAAATATTTCCTTTTTTTTTTCCTGATTTTTCCCCCTTTTCCTTTACATTACCTGTTGGATCAGTTGATGCTTAGTTGATCTTCTGTTAAGTTTTTAGTTATTATTCTTTTAGTTTTTAGATATAGTTTAGCAATTTCACTATTGACTATGGAAAAAATTAGGACCGTGGATTTATATTATTTTCATGAACACCTTGGTAAATACTGATCTTCAAATTTTACAAATAAGAAATTTAACATAGCACAATTTTAAAAATTATGAATTCCTCTATAATGTTTCATAAGTACATCATGAAACATTATATGTTCCTTGAGAATCTTATAACATTTCTGAGCATCCAGGGAATAGTCAATATATAGTGAAGCTGTATTTAAGGTATATTTCATCATAGAAAAGCAGAATAACGTTAGTTGATATATGCTGAAATTTGTAAGATTTAGATTTGGACTATTGAAAAAATGTCAGCTTAACAAAGTGCATTAAATATATGTCTGTGTGTGCATGATGTGTGTAAGAGAAAGAGAGAGAGAGAGAGATTTTGGTGATATTGTCAATTTTCAAAAATTAATTTTGTGACTCAGTTTCTTGTAACTTAAACTTCCCCACACAATGTCACTAGACCACAGAGCAGCAAAGCACTTTTAGTCTAGTGTATTAAGATAATCCAGCCAATGATTGATTACTTTATAGTTCAGCTAATTATGTAAACCAGAAAATTGGGTTTATTAACAAAACTGTTATTATTTTAACAATGGATAAGTCTATTTAGTAGGGAGAGCCATTACATGTTTCTCACAAAATTCTCAGTAATTTGGAATGTTTAATAAAAAGTGTCAGCTTTGAATCTGAAAATAAGATAATGTGAAATGCATATACATATATTCAAATGCCAGATATATATGTGGAAAAGCATACAATTATTTATGTTAAGTTTTCTGCTGATGTCTATACAGTACTAATGTATATTGTGGACTTAACAAAATAAAGGATCCAAATTTGTATACATTTTTGTACACATTTTTCATGAACAATTTTGTATACCCTTTTGGATCCTTTCCCCCCCCCCCCCCCATAACAAGTAGGTTGTTCTCTTAATGTTGAATTTTTGTCACTAATGTCCATGCTTTTCTGCACATTTCCCCCTTATATGCAGGTTTTTGTCCACTACTTTTATCAGCAGGTTTGAGAAATACATTAACAGAAGGATTCATTCATTCATTCATTCATTCATTCATTCATTCATTCATTCATTCATTTAAAATTTGA